GTTTACGAAAGGGTTGATTTTTCTCTTTAGGTATCATGTGGACATGTGTGCAGCAACGTGTATAAACGATATGAGACTGCAAGTCTGCTGCTACCGCTGCTATTGCTGCACGAAGACGACGACGACGACGCCAAAGATAGTGCGTTTATTATGATTATTTTTATTACTCTTTTTTTATTATTATTATTATTATTATATATATATACAGATTGAGCACTGTATAAGGAAGTTCCGTCGACGCTTACGCACGGTCGCGATTTTTCCTTTCGCTGTTGACTTGGCTGGTCGCGCGAAAACTGCTCGAGAATCGAGGTACACTGCGGCTGCTGCTGATGCTGCTGCTGCTGCTGCTCAGACACCGAGCGCACCGCCGCCTGAGAGGGGGTAGCCACGCGCGCGCTCTGCACACATGCTGCCAGTTCTGCTGCTACTGCCAACTTGAAAAGTGGGGAGGATTTTGCGTATACATATAACTCCTCTTTCCCTTTCTTTCTCGCTTCCTCTCGGTTTTCCGCGCAGACGTGTGCAGCTAATACGTACACTGCTGCTGTTGCTGAATGTGCGCGCGACTGCTGTTGCTGCTGTTGCTGCTGCTGCTGGCTGCAGTATGCACACGACTCGACTCGGCGTAATGCACCGGCTGCGCGCGGATCGAGGGGGGGAGGAGGGCATTCCGGGCCGAAGAGAGGGTGGTTTTTTCCTGCTGTCTTTTCCCAAGCCTTCCGCCGATTGTCTTCTCTCTTTCTCGCCCTCCTTGCTGTGGACCTCAGCAACACACACACCCACACACATACAGACACAGACACACAGAGAGTCGTGAGCGCGCTCAGACGATATACACTTTGAAGGGAACACTTTTTCATTTGCCAAGCCTCGTTGGGTTTCCTCGCGCACCGAGCGATATGCCTTTCGTTTTGTATGCTATAATATAAAGCTTGCATGCATGCATGGATGCATGTGCGCGCCTATTACATCGCGCTCACGCCACTGAACGCGCATCCAGTGTATACGTGCATAATGCACAGCCTGTGTATTATATATATACATGCCTATTTACTTATATACATATGTGCATCGTGTGAAACAGATCGATGCTCCGCTGCTGGTGGATGTGCACTAGTCCGACTTGGCTTTGAAAATTAATTTATAATAAAACCCGATCGATTCTCACTGACCTATCGATGCGCGCCCGACGTTACATACACCAGCAGCAGCAGCAACAGTAGCAACAGCAGCTCATACGAAGAGAGCCCTGCAACCCTGTAACTTTCTTCGATCGCAAGCTCGCAAGCTCGCCGTATTATTTTCTCTCGTGTATGATACGTGCAAAGTTACGATTCATGGGATGCACGATTTTTTACAATCGACGTTCATTTCGAGCGGCAATTGCTATATGTAACGCCGAGAGATTTCGTCGATCTCGGAGCTGTGGCCTCCGGAGCGTACGGCCACTTGGTCCGCGCTCTTTTCATATTTTGCCCCGAAATACGGTGCCCTCCCGTCATTTCTCGTTCGAAGGACAAAACTCCCTCATCGCGTATATTATATATCGATCGATCGCCTCTGCATATGCATCATATACGTGTGTTCGATTTCGCAAGCTGCAATTGACGCGCGAGAGCGAGAGCTCGGCTTTTTGCATTCAGACATATTAATTGAGATGGCAAAAATAGTTCCCACCCGATACACGTGCGGATGTGGAAAACAAGAGAATTAAAAGGTCGATTAAAAATAAGGCAACTCGGACGCGCAGCAGCGACGAAATGCGTGCATATATATACACGTATAGTGTATTGTGTGTTATACCTGCGTGTGTACATGTGTGTATGCGCGCGCGCGCGAGCGGGGCAACGTTTAGTGCGGGTGGCTTCAACCGAGTGTCGATCGGCGCGACACAATCGAATGGTTTATATTGGATATTTTCGAATATCGACTCAGGTTTGGCGCTTTTTTGCTCCCTCCCTCTCTCCCTCTCTCTCTCTCTCTCTCGTGCTCTCTCGAAATGCTTTCTTTGTCCAAGTATACAATCGGATTTGCCAGCCAGCAGCTCGCGCGCAGCATAAACGCGTGCACACTCCAGTCGGATCAACGTATATGCAACATTTTAATCCTCGCAAGTGGCTTACCCATACGCAAGCTCGCATTGCTTGCCTCCTCGATTTTTCGAGCAAAAGGAAAAAAAGAAGAATGAAACGCCTGGAGCGAAATTATAACCGCTGAGAATGTCGATACTGCCATTGCAACTGCTCTCTTGCAACATCGCATTAGAAATGAGATAGCGATAAAAAGAACGACTGGAGCTCGATTTTTTTCCTCTTCTTGTAAGCGCAGCGCGTTCGAAACAACAAGTCATTTGATGAAAATAGCTTTACATATAGTGAGCTTTTAGCGAGCGAATGTTCTCTCTCTCTCTCTCCTCTCGTGGCCTGTATACAAATAAAACCCTGAGATTGTAATGAGGAGGCTTTAGGCAAATTCCACTTGATAATAGAAATAACCATCGTACGAGAGTAACTGTTTCGTTACAATAAAAGTACCCTCGTGGTCATCGTGCGAGCAGTTGCAGCAGCAGTACCAGCAGCAGCCTTGAACGTGCTCTCGAGCTTTTATTTATATATCGTACAAAATGATTCCACACTTAAATAAAGCTGCAAATAAAGGAAATAAATCCAAAAAAAGTAAATGAAACGTACACACTATAAATACAAATATTTATGCTGACCGATGAAAAGGCACGTACACGATGAGACGATCGTGTTCAAAGTTATTTTCAGAAAACGTGCCCCATGTTAAAAAATTTATGAAATTGTTCAGAATGTCAACAGTCGATAAAAAGCTTAACGAAAAATAAGTTTCATTCTGCGAGCAAGCTGTTTTCTATGGTAGAACTTGGACTAAATCTCGATCGAGTCCCAATAACGAAAAATTCGACTTTGTTGTCATTAAAAACGAAGCTTGAAAAGATACATTTACGAACGTAACTTTCAGGCTAGTATTTAGGCTATGTGCAATTTTTTGAGAGGTATAACGCGCGAGCTTTTGCACCACGCCAACGAAGGCACTGTTCTAGCGACTTAGCCAATAAAATTACTCGAAAACGTGAATGATTGTCAGTCGCACGCGTGTGCCAAGAATTGTGTGGGCCACGCCGAAACTTTTGCGACGATTTAATAATATTTTTCGCATAGTAGAGCTGAAAAATAACTAAACGTTAATTTGAGTACACGGAACCTATGCGGAATTACTTTCAATGCTATTAGCGCTTGCAGACCACTGCTCGCTAGGAATATTTCAAAAGTATGTAGCCGCGTGCTTATGCGTGCTTATGCACGTCGGAGCTCTCTTCGTACCCGTTTTTGAATGGTTTCATGGCTCGCTCGCGCGCGCACGTAGTAATTACGTATTTTACTTACAAATGCCTCTCTAATGTACCCATGAAAGGCATTCAGCGAGTCGCACAATAGGTGCGAGGAAAGGTTTAAACACCAGAGCTTATCTTTGTGTTCTCTAGGCCGTTCGCGTATATATATGCACTGGCTGCTATCATGAAAATGGCGAGCCGTCGTGTGTGCGTATACATACCCACGCAAATACACAAGCACACGTTATACGCGTATAATGTAAACGCGTATAACACGACTCGAATTTAGCATAGGAATTCAAATTGCGTCGAGCTGTTAGTATATATGTGTACACAATATATACACGAAAATATGATATCTCGTGTAACGAGGCGAGCTCGCGTCGACCGAAGAATTTCAAAGCTCGATCCGATACGTGTGTGCGTGGGCGCTTCGGCGAGAGAATCTGTTTATCTTGATAATGCGCGTCCAAATTATTCGTTGCTTCAATTAATTACTATCTTTTAGCGGGAGCTAACTCGAGCTCTGTGCATTATGCGCTCCTTTGTTCGAAATTCGCTCGCTAAAATCGCCGGAATAATTTTCCATTGGCGTGCTTTATCGATTCTCATGCGAGCGAGCGGGAGCGCGGGCGCGAGAACCTTGTTTTAGTTTTCCCTCTGCCAAAGACGTCTCTTTTTCAATGGATCCGTCGAAGGAAGGAATAACGGCCTCGAGGAGTGCACGTTAAAATCGTCGTCCTTATACATTGCAAGTTTTCGCAGCGCGATCGAATCCGAGGAAACGAGAACTTTCCAGACAGCTGCGCCAATATGATTGAAAGACCCTCGGTAGCGCGCGCGCGGCTTTAAGCAAAGGTAAAAAAAAAACGAAGAGAAAATAAAACGTAACCGACTCGACTCGGTAATGAGCGAAGCCACAAAAAGATTCATTGATTTTGTCACGATCTGCGAGTGTTACAGTTTCGAGCTAGGACAAGGGTCAGAGGCGGCTTAATGATATTCATCTCGTTTTAAGAAAAGCTCATATCTCCGAACCCTAATATGTAAAGGAGTCTCGCAGGGTTTCCGGTTATAAATCGATTTCCCCCTAGTTTTCTAATACTACAACGACTCTCTGTGCTTTTCTACTCGAGTCGATTGCTCTTCTTGCTTCTTCTTCTTCCTTTTTATTCGTCCTATATATAAAGTAAAAGGATCAAGGAATAATAAAAGCTTACGCACACAAGGGGAGAGAGAGAGAGAGAAAGAGTAGAGAGGAACAGAGGAAAGAAGAGTAAAGCGACGAGCTCGCGATGCATGACTCCCTTGTAGCATCGATATTTTGTTCTCTTTAAAACTCGTATTTCACGAGTCATGGGATTTCGCGCACAAAGTGCATTGTAAGCTTTTGTAGAAAATAAAATCAAAATGGAAAAGCGGCAAGTGAATGTATTAAAAAGATTTCATGTACGCGATTCATTTCTTATTATTTCTACATCACGCGCTACCGTTCTCTCACTCCCTCTTTTTCTCTCTCATTTTCTTTTTATGACTTTTTGAATGGAATTCGTCGCGATTGGCAGTCGGTTGAATTAATCACAAACCGCACATTAACGCTCGCGCTCGAGTACGGCTCTTTTCCGATCAATAATTGATTTTCATATTCGCGCTGTTTCTCTCTCTCTCCTCTCTCTCTCTCTCTCTCTCTCTCTCTTTCCACGGAGCTGCTGTTTACTCGTTTATCACTGCAGATTAATATACATAACTAATTACTTAAAAGTAAGTGGACTGTGTGTTTTCAACGTAATAGCTAATTATACGCAGTGCATTGCCAAACATTAATTCTGTCGGTGACTAATGCGAAAGAATATAATTATTATTTTTCTCGTTTTATTTTTTCTCTCTTTCTCTCTCTTTCTCTCTCTCTCTCTATATCGTTGAAAAACAAATGTCAACCCTTAATACGCGAACAGGAACCTGTATATAGAACAATAAATGTGACCGTGTGTTTATCAAGAGTATGCGCTCTAGACTCCTTAACCTATAATTTTAATTATAAAATTCCATAAAAATTAATGTGATTTCGTGCTAACCAAGTGCAATATTGAAGATGGTTGGAGGAAAAGAGTCACCAAGAAGACCGAAATTAACTGGTTTTGTTTCAACTACGACCAGTCTGATGGCGAATCAGCACGCCGTCGCTTTGTACGGTAAGTCAATCAAGGTCAGCTATTCAATGCACTCGTTTGTAACGAACTCGAGTCCCATTGAGATTTTCGTTGATGACGTTTGAATTATGACAGACATCTAAAATCCACTAAATGAGCTATCAATCTATCTAAAATTATCACTCAGTCAACGTACAGCGAGAATTACGAAAATTTTCGACTCGTATTACCGAGCTGCTAACTTGCTTTTTAATTCTTAAATTTATTATAATTAGCTCAATTAGGGTAATTCAGTGGTGCGACCATTAAATGTAGTTTTTCACTCTTCCTGCGCTTCTCTCGTTTCCTGACACACGCGCGCTTAACCGAGCACTTAATCTTTCTCTAAAATTTGACTGCGCACAATAAGTGTGATTCTGTCTTTTTGCAAAAGAATCTCGTAAACACGTCAACACTTTCAAAGCCACGCGGTATTTTCGACTCGAGCAATTTGACGAAGGTCAGCGCTCGAGTTCAAGTGCAGAGGAAGAGCGAAAAGAGAGAGAGTGTCATTAAACTCTAGTTTCTTTCTTGTTTGCAGTTGCGACGCATAGTTTCGCTATGGGCGTAGCGATAGGCTGGAATTCAGTGGCGAGCTTCGTGATGCAAGTGAAGAATTTTCCGAACGACTATATTTCCGGCCCTGCGACCGTGTCTCTCTGCCTTGGAACATGCATCGGAGCTTTGCTTTTACCTGCCTTCGTACATTTCATTGGTAGACCGGCTCCCTCGTCGGTTTTGCGATTTTTCATGCCCACGCTTCTCATCGCTCTTGGATGGCTTTTGACGTATTTCGTCGATTTCGAGGCACAACCGGTCAGTTTTGATGAACGTTGCAGTGGCTTGCGTATGCCGAAGCACATGATCGCGATCAAAGATTGATTCGCTCGTACGAGCCGTGCATAGGGAGGAAAAAATCCTTTTTTTCCAAACTGTCAGCGGTATTCCGAGCGATCGAGTCAATGAGCAAACGACAGAGGCTCGGACAAAATTGCTTCTCTCCGCGTGGTGAAATGTATAATTATAGAGATCGAGCGAGAGCAGGTTAATTAAATGTCGGCTGAAAAATATACGAAACGATGAAATAGGTCGAGTGACTTGGCGATATAATGCTCGTTGTCGCGCAGTCACTCGTGAGATAAATTAAATGGGGTTTGGATGACTATGGGCGTGAGCACTATTTACATAGCCGCAGCGGCTGCCGGAACGAAATAGACTTTTTTGCCGTGTTAATAAAAAAAGAGAAAAAAAAATTCATCTAACAAACAAAATAACCTGGATCACATTTCACTTACTTGGACAGCGAGCGAGTGAGATTAAGAAATAGTCAGCCGAGTCAACTCGGCCAATTATATTTAGATGGATTCACCCACGTTCTCTTAATGTTTCTTGACCTCTTGAACATGATTTTTTTATAAGAAGTTAATCACCTTAGGTTAAAAGTTTTATATTTACAAAATATACGCGAAGAATTCGAAAACTGCACTTTAAAAATTTTTAAACAGAAATTGATTTTTTTTTAGATATTCATACAGTATTATTTCTATCGAATTGATACTTCAAAACTATGAAAAATTAATATCAACCACGATTGTTATAGATTGAGTTGTTATAAAAAAATATGTATTTATCGTCTGACTTACTAAATTCTATTTTTTTTTTTTTTTCCATATTCTCATAACTTTTTAGATTAATGAAATGAATTTCAAATTTTACAGAGTTAGATTAAAAAATATTTTCTAAATGTAAACGTACGAGCGATGAAGAGCATAAAAATACATAAATTTTCTTGAAGTTGAGAATTATCGTTAAAAAGAAAAAAACAATGTGACAAATATTTTGTGTCAAAGTGCCAAGTGCTACTAAAATAGCTTGAAAAAAATGAAAAATGTTATTTTTCGCTGATTAAGTTAAAATCAAAGAAATATTACATTATACCTGTCTCTTGTAATAATGGAAAAAAACTATAAGTGGATTTCCCCGGTAGGCAACGGTCGAAGGGTCACATAGGGATATATGGTAAAATAAACTTGAAAAAAATATCTAAACAGGTGGTGTTGCTCGTTTTGGGTCGACTACTGAGCGGCATGGGCGTAGGCGGTCTGTACGTACTCATAGCTCTGTACTTGAGCGAGATCGCCTCGACCAAGGCACGCGACGTGCTGTTGTTCTACCAGCAGGCGGCCCTCAGCCTCGGAGTCGCGGCGTCTTACTGCTTCGCTCATCTGATCTACCAACACCAAAGCACGGATCTGACTTTTTACACGATCTACTGTGCATTGACTTGTTTGCCTGCGCTCGGCCTCTCGTGCTTCTTGCCGCCCAGTCCCTATTCGTTGAGAGAGCCCAAAAGCATCTTGATGAAATTGCATGGACGCAAAGATGAGGAGTACTTGAACGTCGAATGCCAAAGAATCGAGCGCGACGTGGAAAAAATGATGTTGCCAATGGTGGGCCAACAACTATCGCTTACGATAAAGTTGGCTTGCGAATGATGAACGAATTATCAATATGATTTTTTACGCTTTTACAGGCGAAATGTACAGCGTTGCGCGAATGGTCTTACTGGAGAACTGTGATGTTGACCCTCATTTTGGAAATATGTCGCCAGTTGAGCGGAATTCAATTACTCACGGCAAATTTCGTATCGTTCGCCGAGTTTAGCAGCATAGCTTCTCCTTACGAGCGCAGATTCACGGCCACTGAGATGAGCTTGCACAGCTGTCTGTCACAAGCTGCATTGGCCCTTTTGGCCACAGCCATGGTTCGTTGGACCGGCCGGAGAATCATGCTGCTGCTCAGCACCTGTCTCATGTCGTTATTTGCATTATTGTTGGGTATGTTTGAGAGAGCGAGTGCAACAGCTATATGATTCAAGCGTGTCGTGCGGACTTTCTGTTTCAGGCTTTCATTTTCACGACATCATGAGAGAAAATGTGCAGAGAGTTATTGTCTTCGAATCGGAATGGCATCTTTACGTTCACAGTGCGAGTTTCTTTGGTCTTTATGGTTTAGGTTTCGGTGCTGCCTGTTGGACAATAATGTTCGATTCGTTTCCTCTACAACTACGAGTGGTAACTCCGTCAGTGATCGGCAAGTTTTACTTTTTTTGCACATAAATTGGTACAATTCGTTTAATAATGTACGATTGATTTAAATAATTATTTTTTCAGTTGGCATTGGCTGGTTATCTTGTTCAGTATTTTTATGCTTCATAATTAATATCATCAATCGTTTTGGCATTGACACTGTGATATGGTTATTTTCTGCAATCTGTGGCCTTGCACTTCTCATCGGATTGTTCATTCCAAATCCAAAAAGAGAAAAAGAAAATAATTCAGGAGATATAAATTCAATTAACCGAAGTGAAAATCAATTATCTGACAACAGTCGAATACGTCAAATTTTTCAAAGCCAATTGGAGAATTATTAATTCATGTTAAATTTAGTTGAAATGTATTTAATTTGTCATACAATTAATAATCCATTACTAATGTCTCTTTTTAAAGTGTACATAAGAAGTAAGCAAACGTTGAAAAGGACTGTTATACAATTAGTTCATGTTATTTGATATGTGTTCAATGAAAATAGGAAACAAACATTTTCAATTCGTTCATTTATCAATGAATAATAAAAATTGTTCATTAGATCGAGGCTTTTTAGCTTACCATGCATAGATTATACAATGAAAAGTATGAAGACAAGTGAAAAAGCTTCAGGTTCTAAAAATGATGAGTATGGAAGCTAAAAGCTTTAGCTGAAAAAAGAAAAGCGCTCTTGCAGGTACAGACATTGATTGGGAGGGTGCCATGCGAATAAGAGAAGAGCTATAGGGCCGGTCCATCGATTTGCAGCCCCCGAGGGAAGCTTGTGTGCATCGGTCCGTGTCTATATAGAAGCCTTCGCCGCGCGCGAATCTGTCTTCCAGCCACTATGCCATTTGGCCATTTCAGCCGAGTTAATGCAGTCTCAAAAGAGATAGGTCATTAATGCGTATTCGAGGCGCCTCTGCGTAGATACGAAACAGGTCTTTGATAAAAAATTGTACATTACTTACAAGAGCTTTATGAATGCTGCAAATGCTTCAAATAAAATATTTGTACCTTTGAGGATTACAGGGGCCAGATACTCACCTTTTCACCCAAGATTATTGGGGCTTCAGTTTTTCTTGTCAATAGGAGAGAAAAACCATTTTTTTGTAACGACCATTGAGGAAAAAAGATATATAAACCTTAATGACTATGAAAAAAAGGAAGACTTACGAGTCATTTGAGAAATCGTGAAAAATTAAAGACTAAATGCTTGTTTTGTGCCTGTACCTACTCGTTGCTCGATGTCATACGAGGAATCACAAAGTGCGCTCGGTTTGCCGAGCAAGTATACGGGCTGCACAGAATGAAAGGGCAAATGAAGAGGACGACGACAGGTTACTTGGCGCAGCAAACTTCTAATCGACTTTAACAACCAGTAACGACGATCCGGGATACATGCTACGTCATCGCCTTAATGTCCGCTCGAGATTGTGCGTTACCTCGAGTTATATACACGTAGCGAGTGTAAATTCCTTGAGCTACAATGTACTGCACCTAGGCTACTTCTAATTAGCAAGTTTTCACGCATCCAGGTAACTTGCTCGCTGTTCATATAGGCGTAGAGAGAGAAAGCCTCGTCATGCGACACAAACTCGGCCCTGCGACGACAGGCTACACTGCAGTTATCACGCTAGTGCACATCCCATATAACATAATCGTACTTTCAATTAGTCAACATTTTTAATAATCCGAGCAATTTCTATAGCTGTGTTTATACGTACGCTTCAAGTTTCGATTAAAGCAGTAGAATTGCTTGGATTAATTCCTCATCTTTTACGATCCGCTTCGGTTGCTCCTGCAATGTCGTTGCATTAAGATAAATCCTCGACTGTTCGAGTCAAGGAAGACGTGGTTTATAGCTATAGGTTTCTTTTATCAGAATCTAAAAAGTCGAGAGTGAAGAAGCCAGAAACTATTGTCAAAGTTGTGCCACTGCTAGGTAACGCAGAGCTTTTTTACAAGACACGAATAAGTCTGAAAAAGTCACATTGCGATCTTCACCTCGAAAAGTTGAATATTGTCAATAATTAAAATGACAAAAATTTTCATGAGGCTAGTTGAAGTTTCGATGTCAAAGAAAAAAAGACGCAGCAGTGTTGCATTAGAAAATGGAGAATCGCCGAGCTGGAAAAATAGAGTTATCGTACGCGCACAATCATAATATTGAGCAAGTTGTTTCCCATCGATGCAAGGTCAGCGTTAGCCAGCAGCAGCTGCCACCAGAATTCAGGCGAGTCACGCCAGGAATTTAATTAACGAAGAATGCTGCACGCTCAGTTATGTGTATGGGACGTAATATCCCGCCACATGCACATACATAATTGTCCGCAAGGATCTGTATATATCATGTATATGCCAGACAATGCGAACGAGACGAGGAAGAGGCTGCGGCTCCTAAGCGTTTCGCGCTGATAAATATGTAACAATTTTCAAGCACGTTTCATTATGTATTCCTCGAAGCAGTGAGACGCAGTTGCGCTCGCGACATGGACACGCGGTGGAGAAAAAGAAATGAGCTCGCGATATCGCGACGCAGTTGCTGCTATTACATGACTTTGATTGCAGCTCATCTATACGTGCAGAGCTCATCTCGTCGTTGATTGTCATCGTACTCGAGATGCTATATCAAGCTTCGGTGGGGTTGGCACCAGGTAGAATATACTGGCGCACAGATTGTATAAGGCTTGTCGTTAAGCCGTATCTTAATAATCAGCGCGCAAACGGGTGAAAGTGCATCTATATTTCTCTCTCTCTCTCTCTCTCTCTCTCTCTCTTTCAGCCGCTGCAGTCTGCGCGCGGAGGGCGACCTCTCCTTCACGGATCGATGACACGAGGAGCCGACGAGGAGCGCACGCGGGTGGGGACTATCTATAACGTGGCTATATGCACTCGCTACGAGCCCGACCAAAGAAAATTGGGTTAGCATGCTCATTCAGCCAAGTTTAGAGATACTTATAAAATATATATATCTTGCAATGTAAATACGTTTTCAATTACTCTTGATACGGAAAAATTTCTGCAGCTCCGATAAATTTTCAATCGCGTCACTCCCCCGGGGAGGACTGCTGTATCGAGATATATTGACTGCTCGACGTTTTCCGTTTACGTACGCGAATCAAAATTTTCAAGTTTTAATGTGCGATTTTGCATCATGTGCGTTCGTTACATGCGATGTAATGCGAACAAATAATATAATGCGTGTACATGAAATCCTTTCGTATTTTATGTCATATCTTATCGACGAGAATCTTTCTCGTTGATACGGTCCAAGTATGAAAGCGAAAATCTGGCGTGTTACACTGGCCAAGGGTCATGGTCGTTTCTGTTGCTAACTCACCTGATACAGCAAATTCAAAATCCACATGGCTAAAAGAGTAATTAAATATAGTGTGAAATTTTTTAATATTGAAAGCTTCTGTTCGGTGGTCGGTGCCAAATCGAGGTTATCGAAAAACTTTTTGTAAAATCGACTGGATTTGTTTCTTATAGGCTATTAAAATTGAAAAGATTCTATTTATTACAATTTGTTCAACGATAATTCATGATTGACAGGCTACATTTTCAAAGAACATCAAAATTAAATAAATTTATCAAAATGTTGAGAATGAATCACAAACGAATAAATCTAATGTTAAAAAAGTGCTAGTATTCACTTTATTTTGTGGACGTGCGCTTGAATGAAAGGCACGAGATAATCTCTCAATGAGCGTTATTAAAATTTATAGTAATGCAAGATAGAGAGCTTATATTAAGCAAATAATCTTGTTGCGGATGAACGTTTGATTAGTAGACTATAGAAAATTCATCCATTTGTAATTTATAATTTCAATGTGGATATGAATAGTAAAAACAGCACCTTTCGATTCAAAAAAAGGCAATCGAAGATGTAATTTTTTTAGCATATCTATAAAAATAGAACATTTTTATAAACTTCTATTTATTATGATTCTAATAAAAATAATTAAGTCAATGATTTCGTATTTTTTTTTTTTTTAATTATACGTCACATAAGACATTAGTGCGTTGTGCACCGACACAATGGCGTTAGATAATCGTCGCATAATGATTTATGAAGAAGACGTCAAAAGTTCGTTAAAAAAAGTAAATAAAACTAAAATAAAACTAAATTAAAAACACGGGTGAGTACGCTACATTGATGCATGAAATAAACATATTTAAGCAACGAACTAAACTTTGCTGAATCAATGCTTCATATTCTGTCTATTCTTATGATGAGACAAAATAAAAACTCATAAATAAATAAGAAATTTTGATAATCGAATTAAAAGAAATTTTGAGTACAATGCTCTATTCCCTAACTTTTCCAACAGTATTCAATGAGTCAACCCGTCGCGAGTAAAAGAGAAGAGAAAGTAGGAGAGAGGGATGAAGTAAGTAGTGTTCGATTTTCCCCCGCGGCTTGGCCTAGCACTCATAACCTAGATTCCAACCGGATAGGTTGCGCGCGCTTGCCACTGCTTTAGATCACTGACTCATTTGATGCATTCATCTGTGTTTCCTCTTTTGTGCATCTATGATTTTTCTCCAAACTCTTCACAGGATCTTCCTAATCAATTTACGAATACTTTTTCCTACAAAATTATTAATCATGCTCAAATGGCATCGACAGTCACATTTTACCTATAATACATTGTATATAAATATTTTCACTAAATTTATTGATTTTAAAAAATACAGAAGGGAAAATTTAATGATATTTTTTCTGAAAATTGTCATGTTAAAAATGAAAGGGTGAAAAAGATATTTTTTAGAATATTGATTTTTAGCATTGCTTAATCTATGCGCAAGGCATCAACTTGTTAACAATACCCATATCATATCACCAAACTGTTTAAGCGATGAACATAAGACTTAATACTACCTCACCGTAAAAACGATCTGCTATATTGGCCTTGCACAAGTTACAAATACCTATTAATCTAGCCTCGCTATCGCTAATGGGTCAAAAATGAGGGCTGATTTGATTTGTGAATTTTTCAATAAATCAATTTTGCAAATCATTATAATGAGTGCATACTTTGTAAATGGGTATATAGACGCATTAAATTTTTCTTGCACGTTGGAAACTTTAAATATGATACTAAAAATTTGATATCCGCGTTTCAAAATCAAAACTATTGGCTGTTGAAAATAACGTTAACGTTTCCGAGTAGCGTTTGTCGGTAAGAGTGGCAATGCGCTATTGTTCATATCTCCAAGGCATCACACTGCTTTGCGATTAATAACATCAGTTGGTCGACAAAATCGACGGTATTTCTAAAGTACTTTCGAATGTATTAATGTATATCTAGAGGTATCATAGCTTTTAATAATGTAAATA